CAAAACTGGTTGATCCACTCTGAGAAGGTGCTATTTAAGAGACTGAGATGAATACAGCACGTCAGACTGAAGAAGTCTCTCGGACGAGAGACGAAACGTTTCTACATTTTTTGTTGTTTTGCTTTGTTTTGGGTTTTTTTGAATGTCCAGAGGACCAGATTGAACTTTTTTAGATTTTTCTATCTGGATTATTGAGCATGCATCAGGATATTTACCCTCTTGTTTACATTTAGCAGCGAGTTACTCAAAGGTTTGAATTTCAAGAGTAAAGTAAATAAAAACAAGTAACTTTACTACAAATACACTCACCTCTCTTTGCGACCAACGACAGATACCGCCTGACGCCCCACATCCTTCTTATTTGATTTAAATGTTTTATTTTCGTTAGAACGTCATGAAGATAAACAGCCCCGTGGTTTGTTTGAAGTCCGTCAGTTTCAGCTGTTCGGCGCAAACACGGTGACTCGCATTAGTTCCGGTGTAAGGTGTCTCCTTAGTTCTTCTTCTTCTTCTTCTTCTTCTTCTTCTAGTATTGTTTTATGGCGGTTGGCATACCAACTGCTAGGTGCATTACCGCCACCTACTGAGCTGGAGTGTGAGCAGGAGACATATACGCAAAATAAATAAATAAATAAATAAAATAAATAAATAAATAAAAATAAATAAATAAATAAAAATTCTGTGAAATTACTTAACCTTGATACCTCATCTAAATTCTATCTATTAAATTTGTTTGTTTCAAGAAAATAATAATTTGATTTTTGACTTTATTATCATCACTACTAAAAATGTTATTCATTGTAAATTTTATATTCATTTTATCCATTTCTTTTTGGAAACTTCTTCTTTCGAATTCATATCCAGTACATTCCATAAAAACATGTTGTACTGTTTCAGGGAGATTACATTTGTCGCATTGTCCCGTTGCATGTTTTCCTATTACTTTAAGTGATTTATTGAGACCTGTATGTCCTATTCTGATACGGGTCATTATTGTTTCTAGTTTCTTATTCCTTCCTACTTTCTTTGTACATCCTACCTTTTTCTGAATGTTATATAAATGTCGTCCTGTATCGTTTATGTCCCAATTTTCCTGCCAGACCTTTCCAACATATCTATTTATTATCATTTTACATTCAGCTTTACTTAATGGAATTTTATAGTTTATATTTTTAGATTTTAACGCCTGTTTTGCAAGAATGTCTGCACCTTCATTGCCTTCCACTCCCACATGTGCTGGGATCCAAACGAAATCTACTGATATTTCCCTCAAGTGAAGTTTATATAGAATGTGGTAAATTCTGTCAATTATGTCTTGTCTTTCTGATTTGCTTGATTTGATGCTTAATAAGGCTGCCATACTATCAGATGCAATTACATATTTTTGATCATTATATTTTTCAATCCATTCTAATCCCATGATTATTGCTAATAATTCTGCTGTATATACTGACAAGTTATTTGTTGCTCTTTTCTTCATCTCTATATTGTGGTTTGGGATGTATACTGCTGCTCCTGTTAGTCCTGATTCTGGATCTTTTGATCCATCTGTAAATACTATAAGTTTATCCATATATTGTTTATGAAAAAATTGATGCACTAAGAAGTTTTCTGACATATTTTTCCCTTTATTTTTTATTAACTTTGTGTAATGATAAATCGACAGAAGGATAAATATATAACCAGTGAGGAATACACGAGTGATTAACTGTTGGACTCAAGTCTATTTCATGCAACCCTGCATATTGAGCTTTTATATTACCTATCCAGCCAAAACTATAAATATTTGTTTTTTGATGTTCCCAACATTCTTGCAATATACTATTTACTGGGTGCGATTGGTCATGTCCTTTAATATTAATCCAGTACACTAACATTTGGTTTAATCTTCTTATTCGTAAAAGCATTTCCCCCATTTCAACTTGAAGAGCTGAGACTGGTGATGTTCTAAATGCTCCACTGCATATTCTAAGTGCTTTTGATTGTTCTATATCCAGAAGCTTCAGATTAGTTTCTGCTGCTGCCAAATAGCTGATGCTGCCATAGTCCATTGTGGATCTCATAAGTGATTGATATATATTTACTAATGCTTTTCTACTTGCTCCCCATTCCCTTCCTGTTAAACAACGCAATATATTATTGACATTTTTACATTTTATTTTTATTTTTTCTATATGTTGTTTCCATGTTAGTTTTTCATCGAATATCATGCCTAAAAATTTTATATCTTTAACCTGTTCAAGATTTTGACCATATAATTTTAAGGAGATAGATTTATGTTTTTTAGAAAAGCAGATAACCTGAGATTTTGTTGTTGAAAGTTTAAAACCCCATTTATTGGACCATATTTCAACTTCATTGATTGCCTTTTGCATTTTATTCTTAATATATTCTGGATTACGACCACGAATCCATAAAGCTCCATCATCCGCAAATAAAGATTTACCAATTCCAGGATCTACTTTTTCAAATATATCGTTGATCATTATCAAGAATAATACTGGGCTACAAACACTACCTTGGGGAGTACCATTCTCCACACTACATTTATTCGAAAATTCCTTTCCCACTCGCACTTCTATTGTTCTTTCAAATAAAAAAAATTTATATAATTAAATAGCTTTCCTTTTACCCCAAGTCTTTCCAGTTTTATTAATAAACCTTCTTTCCAAACAGTATCATAAGCTTTTTCAATATCAAAAAAGACTGCAATAACTGATTCTTTATTAGCTTGTGCTTTCCTTATCTCAGATTCGAAGCATAACACAGAGTCCATTGTACTTCTCCCTTTCCTAAATCCACTTTGATTTGGTGTTAAAAGTTGATTAAGTTCTAAATAACAATATAGCCTTTCAGTTATTATTTTTTCCATTGTTTTCCCCAATTGTGAGTTTAAAGCAATTGGTCTATAGTTTGAGGGATTTGAAGGATCTTTACCTGGTTTTAATATTGGTATTATGATTGAATTTTTTCCATGTAACTGGTATTTTACCACTGTCCCAAATTAAATTAAACAAAGTTAATATTGCTTTAGTAGACTTATCACCCATATGTTTTAACATATCATAACAAATATTATCTTTTCCAGGGGATGATTGTTTTGTACTACTAAGAGCTCTTTTAAATTCAAATAAAGTTATAGGTAGGTCCATCTTCTCTTCATTGACTGGTTTTCTGTCAACTATATTTGGATGTTTTTTTTAATATATTGTCCCTCAACTCCCTAACATTCTCTGAAATATTATCAGAACTATGTATTTTAACCAGTGTTTTAACTAATAATTCTGCTTTATCTAAATTGTTTATTGCAACAGTGTTTTCTTGTTTGATTATTGGGATTTCATATTTTTTAGTTATCCCATTCATCCTCCTTATCATCCCCCACACATCTGATAATTTTGTTTCTCTCCCTATGGTAGAGCAGTATTTTTGCCAGTATTCTCTCTTTGCCTTTCTTATTGTTCTCCTAACGATTGCTTGTTTCCTTTTATAACATATTAACTTTTCAACTGTATGCTGAACTTTAAGTTGTTTAAATCCTTTATTCCTTTCTTTAATAGCTTTTTTGCAGTCCTCATTCCACCATGGAACATTCTTTTTAATTCTACTTCCTGTACTTTTAGGTATTGTTTTATTTGCAGTCTGTATAATTAATGATGTTAATTTTCCATTAAATTCTTCAACATCTTTAATACTTTCTTTAATAATTTCTCCACATTTTGCTTCTATCTGATCTTGAAAATGTATCCAGTTTGCTTTACTAAATTGCCACCTAGGTACTTGAAATGGTTTTCCTTTAAGAGCATCCATTCCTATTTGAATGATTATTGGATAATGGTCACTGCCAAGTGTTGTTTTGTTTATTACTTCCCACTGTGTAATTCCTGCAATGTTATTTGAGGTAAATGTTAAATCTATTGCTGTTTCTGTGTTCTTTGTGATATTATATCTTGTCCCTGTTCCATTATTTATGCACACCAGTCTGTTATCTTCAATGAATTCCTCTATGTTTCTACCATTTATGTCTGTGTGATCACTTCCCCAAAGATTACTGTGAGCATTGAAATCTCCACACCATACAATTTTCCCCTGCTCCTGTCCTCGTACTATATTCAATGTTTCAGTTTTTAATTCTTTACACAGATTATAATAATTAATAATGATTATTTCGTCCTTACCTGTCCATATTTTAATAGAAATGTATTCATGATCTTTCCCTATATTGATTATACTGTAACCTATATTATTTTGTACAAATGTCATTATTCCTCCACCCCTTCCACTATCTCTATCTCTCCTGATTGCAGTGTACCCATGTAAAACATAATCTAATTCTGGTTTTAACCAGGTTTCTTGAATACAGATAATATGAGGTTTCTCTTGTAGTTGTGATATGTAATGTTTAAAATCTTGTCCATTTGATATAAGACTTCTTGCGTTCCATTGAAATATTTTCATGATCATGTAGAAGTACCACCTTCTGACTGAGTTGGTGTTACTCCTTTGCCTATCATATTCTCTACTGCTTCCCAACCAAGGTTTTTCACATCTAGATATTTTTCTGCAGCCCTCACGATAATTTTAATCTTTTCAGTTTTCTTTACTGTTTGAGCTGAACAATTAATCACTTCTACCATAAACAGCACAAAATCCTTTTTGTTCACTATCATTGAATCATTAGCTATTTTAGAGCATCCATCACACGCCTTTGGTTTTATGTTTGGTGTCACAGTTGGTTTTGGTCTCTCTGCTTGATTTGGGATTCTTTTCACGGCTTCAGCGTAAGTAATCCCTTGAGCTAGTTTAACTTTTTGGATCTCCTCTGCTCTTTTACTGACTTGACATCCACGGTAAGCAGCAGTGTGTTCTCCCCCACAGTTACAACATTTAATTTTTGCTTCTTTTTCACATTTCCCATATTCATGTTCACCCGCACATCTTCCACATCGTTGTTTTCCTTTACAGATCGCTGCTACGTGTCCAAATTTCTGGCATTTAAAACACCTTAATGGAGGAGGAATGTATTGTTTTACATCATAGCTCATATAACCTATGAAAATTTTACTTGGTAAACATTCTCCTTCAAAATGTGATCAAGACTGAGAAGCTATCACATCTTTCTCCATTTCTTGTTGTTTTCAGACGTTTAATTTCTCTCACTTTTGCTCCACGTATATTTTCTTGTATTTCTTCATTGGAGATTTTTAAAGGAACTCCAATAATGACTCCTCTACTCATTTTTTTGTTTTCAACAGAACTGCACTGAACTTTCTTCCCTTCCATTTTGTTAATCTTAATGGCCTTTCTTTGTTGAATGCTGTCTCTGCAATGAACAAAAAGTGCACCACTTCGCAAAACCTTAGCACTTCGGACTTCACCTATTAGTTTGCTTATTAATTTGGTTAGTTGAATTGGGTTCCACTCACCAAAAGGTTCTCCCTCTTGATTTAATTTAATAATAACTTTATACTCATCTTTTTGTTTCTCAGTTACTACTTCATTTTCCTCATCATTTTCTGGGTTTGACATATCTTCCGCTG